CAGAAGCAAAAACTTTTGCTATTTTTTCCACACACACGCTCAAAATGATAAATTAATTCTTCTGTTGGCGTTGAAAAAGTAGAAAAGTATTTTCGCACTGCCTGCAGGAATATGTGAGAAAAATTCTTGTAATTACATCATCATTAGTATATAAAAGGGGGAGTTCAGTTGTTAGGAAATGTTTGAAGAGAAGAATTTTTTATTCAAAAGTTAAATACGGAATACTGAAGTTCATATAAAATGGGTCATTGAAAGGGCGATTTTTGGGTCCTTGAAAACTTCTAAAAATATTTCCTGTTGCTTGAGAAGAAATATGGAACAAAATTTTTTGTGATTACATCACTATTAAGGGGTGTTCAAATGGTAGAAAATGTTGGAAGAGGTATATGTTGTGAACCTTCAATATGGGATTTATAACATAAATTTGAAAGAAAAGAAATTGGGTGTTTCCGAGCCTATTGATTGGATTTTATAAATATTGGTCCGTGTAAGGCCTTTCAAATAAATACATTAGATTATTTTTTAGGAAATATAGTCTTCATTGGGACTTCCAAATTAGATCTATTTTTTTAATTCAATTCTTTAGACAAAATTAAATGAGTCTTGAATTCGTTTCGATTTCTGTGATCCATAAATTTATTAAATTCCTGAAACAATGAAAATTCCATTTTGTAACGAAAGAAAGAATTTCGTCCTCTATGAATTTATTCCTCTAAAGGAACACCCAGTACTAGGTCGGACTATTTCGTTAATTAAGTTCCTTTTTCTTCCAATCCTTCATGTTTTCCCGCTTCTTTAACTAGTTCCCTTCAATCATTAATTTTTCCTCTTGTTCATCGAACTAGTTCAAATGAGTAATTCCACAAAAGGAACGATCAGTACTAGGTCTGAATATTTTTTTGTTAATCTAGTTCCTATTCCAGGACTATTTCGTTCATTTAGTTCCATTTTCTTCCAGTCGTATATGTTTTCGCGCTCCTTCACCTAGTTCCCTTTCCTCCAATCATTCATTTTTCCTCTTGTTCAATGAACTAGTTCAAATGAGTTATTCCACATAAGGAACTGTCAGTACTAGTTCTGAATATTTCGTTAATCTAGTTCCTTATACACCTGCGGTTTATTTGTAGTCTCCTTTATTTAATAACTTTTGCTCTAATAGTTCATTGGTTCAATATTCAAATTGATCAGATTATTATAGGGATTAATTACATTACTAATCAGCAGATTTTAATTCTTCGGTGAACAAATGTATCTCTGGAAAATTTCAAAATGCAATTTTCTTTAATGTCGAACTAGATCAAATGAGTTATTCCGCAAAAGGAACGATCAGTACTAGGTCTGAATGTTTCGTTAATCTAGTTCCTATTCTGGGACTATTAAGTTCATTTATTTAAATTTTCTTCCAGTCGTACATGTTTTCGCGCTCCTTCACCTAGTTCCCTTTCCTCCAATCATTCATTTTTCCTCTTGTTCATCGAACTAGTTCAAATGAGTTATTGCGCAAAAGGAACGATCAGTACTAGTTCTGATTGCTTCCTTTATCTAGTTCCTTACGCACCAGCGGTTTATTAATAGTCTCCTTCATTTGGTACTTTTTTCTCTAATTTTCTTGAATGTCCTTTTTGAATAAATAATTTTTCTTTTGGTTGTAAAAAATCTAAAAGAATTGTAGTTGAAGAAAACTATTCCGTAAGAGGAAATATCGATACTAGGCCGCACTCTTTCGTTCATCTACGAATAGATTGATATTTTCACGATCTTCTGAATTGTAGAGTTGCGTAGAAAGTTGTGGAACAAATTAGTTCAAAGAAGCTATTCCGCAAAAGGTTCCGATCGGTTCTAACAACAGAATTGTTCGAATGAATTTACATGAACCAATGAACGATTGAACTAAAATTATTGGCCTAGTTTAATTTTCCGGAGCGATAGCATTGAGTTTTTAAATGAACAAAAAACTAAATGCGATTGCTCCGGAAAAAATTAACGATCGAATAAATTGGCGTGTAGCGAATGAACTAAAGTGAACACATGGAACTAAATGAAAAAGAACTAGTTGCGGAGCAAATCGAAAAAGATCAGACTGTTTCAGGAACGTGATTGCTTAACACTACATAATTGAGTCCTTGAGTTTGAATTTGAAGTCTTTGTTAGATAACTTTATTAGAAGTATTGACCAGTTAATGTTTGATTGTTGAATGATTGAGCTGAAATGAAGTATGGAACTGAATTAAATGGAACTAGTTCCGAAGCGAATCGAAAAATTAAATCAATATTTTGTTTGAAAAAATTAAGAAATAAATATTTTATTTATATATACCTCTAGTTCATCAAGGTTTTAGAACTAAATTATTTCTGTATTTATTATCACTTCTCGGAACTAAATGAAATGGAACTAGTTGCGGAGCAAATCGAAAAGATCAAACTGTTTCAGAAACGTGATTGCTTAACACTACAGAATTGAGTCCCTTAGTTAGAATTATAAGTCTTTGTTAGATCACTCTATTAGACGTATTGGTCACTTCAAGACTGATTGATGAATGATTGAGCTGAAATGGAACTGAATTAAATGGAACTAGTTCCGGAGCGAATTGAACGAAAAGAGCGAAAATTGAACCAATTCAGGAACGAGACTGCTGGACTCCTTTTTTACATTCTAGTGAAGTGAAGATTTTAAAATGTTTTTTACATATTTTAATTTTCTTCTGGAATACGCAATCTTCATTATAAATTGAATCCGAAGTTTGTTTTTAATTTGAAATCAATTTTTCTAAGATTTATTTTATAAAACGTACGTTTTCTTCATGTTCTGCCTTATTTTAGTTGTACAACAATTCTATGAATCTGAGGTAAATAATGAATACGTCATTCGGGGTAATGCGGCGGTATTGAAATGTTCCATACCCTCGTTTGTGGCCGATTTTGTGCAAGTCATATCGTGGCAGGATGAAAGTGGTGAATTATATGCCACACTGGATGAGCAACAGGGAACGGGTATAGCCATCAAATGTTAATTCAAATTTTATTAAAAAAAATAACAAATTGTTGGTTAGAGTTGAAAAAATCCTATCCTTAAAATCCCCACCATAAAATTAAAAATGTTATACTTTTTTATTTTCATTTTTAAACTATTTTCCATTTATTCTGCATTTCTTTTTTGCCGCTTTTCCATTCACTAGTCGTTAATCAATATTACGAAGCCGAAGTTGTCTCCGAATATGTTATCAAGGGTAATACAGCGGTTCTGAAATGTACCATACCCTCATTTGTGGCCGATTTTGTTAAGGTCGAAGCGTGGCTATCGAGCGAGGGCAGTGAATATTTGCCCAGTGAAGATTTTGGTTAGAGTTTTGAAAAGTCTTTAAATTTTCCTCTAAAATAATATAATTTAAGTGTTGCAACATTCCTGATATCCTGTTCAAAATTTCCTCTCTATTTCCTATGCCCTTCTTGTTAATCCGTAATTTATTTTTCTTTTATGTTTTTTCTCTGCAATAAATTTTAGTGGTTAATCAATTCTATGGTGCCGATATTCTAATGGAATATGTTATTAAGGGCAATTCGGCGGTATTGAAATGTTCTATACCCTCATTCGTGGCCGATTTTGTTAAGGTCGAATCATGGATCGATGAAGAGGGCACTGAATTAACACATTCCGATAATTATGGTTTGTTGATATATAAATGAGAGAAAATATTTTTGGATTCGTAACTTTTCCAGTGTAGATAATGTTTTGAAGGGGATTTTTTTTTTCTCAGTGTGTAAAAAATGTTTTCTAAAATTAAAAAAAAAAAAATCTTTTCTATATCCATTTTTAAATCCTATCCTGTACAGACATTTTTACTTTTTTATATTTTTTTGTTTAATATTTTTGTTTATAAAAAATTTAAAGGAAAGTGTATAAAGTTTTATTCTTTAAGGTGTATATAAAACCATTGGATCAGTTTTGTGGATTCATATGCATTCAGATGTCTCATTGCTGAGGTGAAAGCTGCGATATTTAAAAATGCACTTTAAAAGTGCTCTTGTTGGGCGCCATTTATACATGATATTTGTAATTCATTTTGTTGATTCAGAGTCAGAATTTTATATCATCATATTACACATTGGATCTATATTGGTTTTCGAAAAAGTCAATAAAAGTTTGAGTGACGAGGTAATACGTTGTTATTAAAAATTCAATTTCAAAGAACCTCCTGTTGGGCGCCATTTTTGCATGATATTTGTATTTCATCAATTATTTCGGCGTTTTCGTATTTTATCAGAGTCAACGAAGCGGATATATTTATGAGTTGAAGCATGATATGTTGCAATATTGAACAATAAAATTTCAAAGACCCCCTGTTGGGCGCCATTTTTGCAGTTTAGTTGTATTTCATCAACTTTTATGAAGTTTTTGGATTTGGTCAGAGATTTGAGTACAATTTGGCGTCATTAAAAAAACCTCTTTTAATGAGCCCCATATTGGGCGCCATTTTTGGATGATAGTTGTATTTCATAATTTTTTTTAGGGTTTTTTAGGGTTATTGTAAATGAACGGCCTAAATAAGCCTCTTTATTTAGGCCGTTCATTTTTGTAGAACCGTTCAATTTTCTTTTTTATTTCAATTTAAACCTCCTAAATTTCACCCTCCTATTTTTCAATAAACCTCCTTTCAGTGGTCAATCAATTTTATGAAGCTGAAATTATGACCGAATATGTTATCAAAGGCAATGCGGCCGTATTAAAATGTTCCATACCCTCATTTGTCGCGGATTTTGTAAGAGTCGAATCATGGATAGATGAAGAGGGCGAAGTGCTAACATTCTCTGATAATTATGGTTCGAATATACTATAAATTTTACTTCGAAAAATAAATTGTAGTCTTGGTAGAAACAAGAAACATGAAGTCCTCTTTCCCCTTCCCCAAAAGTTTTTTTTTTATTTTTTAATTTCCAAACCATTATTTATTTAAAAATGTGTCTTTTAATTTTAATTTTTATCACCAAATTTTGTCTTCTAGTCGTTTCACAATTCTACATAACCGAGGCCGAAAACGAATATGTCATCAAGGGCAATTCAGCGGTTATGAAATGTAAAATACCCTCATTTGTTGCCGATTTTGTACACATTGAGGCCTGGGTCGATGAAGAGGGTGTTGAACTATGGCGTAATAATTCAACACAGGCTTATGGTATTTCACAATTTAAAATAGAAATTACAAATTTGAAATTAGTACATCAAGAAGTAGTGGCTTTGTGTGAAGGGGGATTTTCTTTCTCTCCTAAAAATGTTATCCTTCTCCTTAAAAAATAAAATTTCCGACTTTTTAGTACAAAATTCTTTATTTAAAATAATTTTTGTTTTTGTATTTTTTTATTTTATTAAAAAAAATCTAGGATTTGAAAATTTAGTTGAAGAAAAAATTTTACGATGTGTCTGATAAAAAATCAATTTGTTAAATGGCTTCAATTTCAACATAATTTTTAGTACAATAAAATATTTTTTCTGTTTTATTTTCACATACAAATGTTAGGACCCTTGTCGAAAAGAAATAAAAAAATATTATTTTTTTAGTACAACTAAAATATATATTTTTTCCTGAGTATAAAATATATAAAAATTTTCTGTAAAGCTAAAAATTTATGTTTCTTTTTATATGTTTTTAGTACTAAAAACGTATATGTACAAAAATATATATCTATGTACAAAAAATGCTTCCTTCTAAATATAATTTTTAATTTACTAAAGATACATACTTATGTGCTAAAAATGAATTTTAAGTACTTAGAAAAAAAGTTTGTAATTCTAAAAAACATACATTTTTAGTACTAAAAATGCTGTTTTTTTTGTACTAAAAATTATTTTTTTATTTCTAAAAATGTATTTTGTACTAAAAATGTATTTATATATTTTTGTTAACAGAAATATATTGTTTAGTACTAAAAATTTATTTTTGTACAAAAAAAATATTTTTTAGTTTCAAAAAAAAATAATTTTTTTAGAACAAAAAAATTATTTTTTCGTACATAAAATTTATTTTTTAGTACAAAAAATTTATTTTTTAGTACAAAAAATTTATTTTTTAGTACAAAAAATTTTTTTTTTGATACAAAAAAATTATTTTTAGTACAAAATTATTTTTAGTACAAAAAATGGATTTTTATACAAAAAATTGAATACTAAAAATGTATTTTTGAGTACTAAAAATGTAGTTTTTAATACCAAAAAATTTATTATTACAAAAATTACTTTTTTAGTACTTAAAAATGTTTTTGGTTCATTTAAATATATTTACTAGAAATGTATTTTTAGTACGTTAAAAAATTATTTTTTAATACTAAAAATGTTTTTTTAGAACCAAAAATTTATTTTTAAGTACTAAAATGTATTTTTTAATACAAAAAATGTATTTTTGGTACTAAAAATTTATTTGTAAGTACTAAAAAATTATATACTAAATGTGTTTTTAGTGCTGAAAATTTATTTTCAAGTACTAAAATGTATATATTTTTTAGTACTAAAAATATATTTGTTAGTACTAAAATAAATTTTTTAGCACTCAATTTGTATTTTTTGTACTAAAAAAATTGTTTTTTATATGATAAAAATTTATTTTTAGTACTAAAAATGAATTGTTTTTGTCCTAAAAATATTTTTGTTAGTAATTAACACAAATATTTAAGAAAAAAATTTGTACAAAAAATACGAACAATAAATGTCTAGGGTCGCAATTTTTTCTTTTTTAGACTTTTCTCATCCAAAGTTCGGAATTGAGGTTTGACTTTATGGGTCTTCATTTGTTGGTCTTCAATCTTTAATCCCTTTTTCCAGTTAATTTTTATTTTCAAGACATTCACTTAAGCAAGGTTATTGATTTTCTTCATTCTTCTTCTTCTATCGTTTTGTGAAAAGTTGTCATTCAATCCTATGAATCGGAAGCGGATAATGAATATGTCATACGTGGCAATTCCGTGGTTATGAAATGTGAAATACCATCGTATGTTGCGGATTTTGTTTTTGTCGATTTATGGATGGATTCGGAGGGCAATAATTATTATCCAAATAGTGAAGAGACTGGTATGGGGTTGCAGGATAAATTTTTCCTTAACATTTTTTTCTTCTTCTTAGCTAGCTAGGCATGCTATCCAATGTCGTGTGGATCCCTAAATGTTAAATTTAATTTCCAATTTAAAATTTGCTTTTTTGTTTATTTATTTTTCTTCTTCAGTTGTCCATCAATTCTATCAGACCCGTGTCATTGATGAGTTTGTTTTACGTGGCAATTCGGCAATTTTGAAATGTGCCGTACCCTCATTTGTTGCTGATTTCATAGAGGTAGAATCGTGGGTCGATGAGGAGGGTATGGAGATTTTTAAGCCCTCCAAAGATGATAATTTGGGTATAGAAATTTTACCAAAATTTTCCAGCTAAATGTTGTTAATAATACCATCCCAAAAAAAAATCCTTTCATATCCTGGGGTTATTTTTGACAAAAAAATCCAATATTTTATGGTCCTCATCTTATTTGATCTTCTTCTTCTTCTCTCTGTGTGTGTTTTTGTTTTCAGTTGTTAAACAATTTTTCGAGTCCCAAGTCTATGATGAATATGTCATCAAGGGCAATGCAGCCATTTTCAAATGTCAAACCCCCTCCTTTGTGGCTGATCATTTAGAGGTCACCGATTGGCTGGATACGGAGGGTGGTGTTTATACCAAAAATGAAACGGGTATTTGAAAAATTTCTATAACAATATTCCTGTAGTTCTAGTAGCAAATTTGTGGAGGGGGTATTTTTCATAGACCTTAATTTTGGTTTTTCAATTTAGTTTCCTTCCTTTATCCTTTATTTTTTAATTATCTTTTGTTTTTTCTCTCTCCTTTGCAAAAAAAAAAAAAAAATATACCATCTAGTTGTACCCCAATCCTATACGGTCAATGTTATGGACGAAGCTGTGCTTCGTGGCAATAGTGCCATTTTGAAATGTCACATACCCAGTTTTGTGGCTGATTTTATACAAGTTGCCTCCTGGCTAGAAGATGAGGAAAGGGAAATCTTGCCCACCTCCAAACAGGATATACAAAGTGGTAAATAGCTATGAAGAATTAAAAAATATAAATGTGTTCAAATCCTCTCTCATCTGAAAAACAACAAAAATCCCTTCAGAAAAAATCTCTTTCCAAAATCAATTCCTTTTTGAGGTCGTTGTTTGTTTTCAGTTCGGCAAAAAGAAATCGGAAATATGGGTATTTCAGGTTCAGTTCAAATTTAGGTTTCATTCATTTCTTTTTTTTTTGAGTTTTTAATTTTTCAAAATTATGTTTTTTTCTTTCTTTTCTTTACTTTTTTCTTATCTGTTTTTCTTCATTTCCTTTTCTTTGATTTCTTTAAACTATCCCATCCCAAAACATTTATCCCATGATCCCTTTTAATATCCATGGGCCATTCCTGGCCTACCCTTAATCCCTATGAAAAAATCCCCCTTCATGTTTGTTAGTAGCTAGTAGAGTTTTTTATTTGTATATATATTTTTGTAAATAGTTTTTGTGTAAAAAATGCTTTAATTGTATTTAATTAAACTATAACAAAATTTAATATAAAAATTATATAAAAAATATTAATTATTTTTTATAAATTTCTAAAAAAAAAATTAAGGCATTTTTTACTTAAACTGCATGCTTTATATAAATTCTTATTTGTAAATATACATTATTTTTTATAATTGAAATTAAGGATAAAACAAACAACAACTAATATTTGTAAATAGTTATCCTTTAAATTTTATAAGATGAAGAAAATCTGCAAAAAATACAATAAAAATATTTTCGATTATAAGAAATATATTAACGGATGTTTAAAATACACAAAAATAGTAATGACAATATTTTTTGAAAAATTTTCTAATAAAAAAATATTTTTTATTATTTATTTTTATTATTTAAAAAATCAAAACAAAAATATATTTCCACATTAAGATTCTTTAAAAAAAATTATTTCCATTTTTTAAATATTTTAAAACATTTGTTTTTACTAATTTTTTTAATTTATATTATTTAAATCACAGAATTTTTTATTTTATTTTATTACATACAAAAAATAAATTTAACTGTACACATTTTTTTAAAATCGATAATAAATAAATATTTTTTAATAAAAAATATATCTAAAATATTCAGATATAGATATATCTCCCATATATATTTTCGTCCGATTTAAGGCAAATGGTACACCAAAGTCCCTAAATATCTTTCGGTTTGCACGAAATTTCGCACAGCATACTGAATTCAGCCTAGAATGATCTGCGCAAAATTTCGTGGAAATCGGTTCAGATTTAGATATAGCTCCCATATATAGTTTCGTCCGATTTAATGTAAATGGTGCACGAAAGTCCCTATATATCCTTCGATTTGCACGAAATTTGGCATAGCGTACTAAATAAAGTCTAAAGTAATGTGTGTTAAGTTTCGTGAAAATCGGTTCAGATTTAGACATAGCTCCAATATATATATTTCCGTCCGATTTAAGGTAAATGATGTACAAAAGTCCCTATATATCTCTTGATTAGCACGAAATTTGGCACAGCATACTGAATTGAGTATAGAATGTGGGGTGCTAAGTTTCGTAAAAATCGGTTCAGATTTGGATATAGCTCCCATATATATTTTCGTTTGATTTAATGTAAATGGTGCACCAAATACCCTATATATTCTTCGATTTGCACGAAATTTGGCATAGCGTACGAAATTGAATGTAGAATGTGTGCCAAGTTTTCCGTTTAGATATAGCTCACATTTATATTTTAGTTCGATTTTACATAAATGGTCCACCAAAATCCTAATATTTGTCCGATTAACACGAAATTTTGCACAATTACGTCATTGGGTTTTGTTGAAATTGGTGCAGATGCAGCCATAGCTTATAAATCGTTTTGCATAAATTTGTCCAATGGTACGCAGACGGCTCTAAATCTACCCGAATGAAATTGAATTTATCATAGGTTGCAGAAAGTCATGAGTATGTTCCTTCGACGGAACATTGGCATACAATTGTAAGGATACATAAGTACAATATACCCAAAGTGGTGAAGGGTATCATATAGTCGGCCCAGTCCGACTTTAATACGTTCCTTGCTGGTTTTTATTGTAAGAAAATTAATTAAATTAATTTAAAAATTGTCATTTTTAAACGACATTATTATTTTTAATTAAACTATTTTTTATAAATTTTTAATATGAATTTAACCACCTTAAAAAATTTCTAAAAAATATATTTTTCAAAAATTTTGCAGATTTTCTTCATCGAAAAAAAATTATATCAATATTTATTATGCATGCGTATTATTAATTGCTTGCTTATATCTATACTAATAATGCATAAACAAAAAACACTTTATATATAAAATGACACTACATAATTCACAAAATTTACTAAAAATGTTGTAAATATAAATTTGTACAAATTTGTAAAAAAAGTAATCATGTACGAATTGTAAATACTTAAAAAAATTAAAATATTAAATTAAATATAAGTGTTTTTTGTTATAGCAGGAAAAACACAAGAAAAATATAAAGAATATTTTTTAAATAGAAAAAAACCAATTATTTTTAATACACATTGAAATGATAACTATAAAAATTAATATAAAAAAATTATGTAAATTTTATATAAATTTTATTCAATTAGTGCATTGATTTTATTCACAATTCAAATTATATATGAAATTAAAAAAAAAAATATTTACAATTAAAAAACATACTGCCAAAAATATAAAAGTTTTAAAAATAATTAAGTCCTCTACAAAAAATAATCAAAGTACAAATTTTATTAACTCGATTCAAAATAAAAAATATGAAAATATTACCTACTAGTATACTATTAAAAAAATTAATTCTATACAAAAAGCAGTTTTAGTAAAATAAATGTTATAAAAATCTTTAATATTTGATTATTAGAAACATTAATATGTTTTTCATAACTTAAATATTAAAAATAAATAGTTTTATAATTACTTATAAATACAGTTTTACAAAAATTTGTATTTCATAGCAAATCACTAAAACTTCATAAAAAAATATTCTTTATATATTTCTTGTTAAAAATATTGGTAGTGGTTAAATTTTTATTATCTTATATTCAAAGACGCCTGAATATTTTTATTAACTTGTAAATTTTTTCTCCCGTTTTTTCATTTTAAAAACGCAACATTTATTCGTCACCAAAAGATGGCAAATACTTGGTTCTGCCCTCTGGAGAATTGCACATTCGTGAAGTCGGCCCCGAAGATGGTTACAAGAGTTATCAGTGCCGCACCAAACACAGATTGACCGGTGAAACCAGATTGAGTGCTACCAAGGGACGTTTGGTGATTACAGGTAAGTTGGAATAACAATTTTCTTACTATTTTCATTTATTTGTAGTAAAGTATTTAATATTTTTATTATATATCGAAATATGAAAAAAGGAAAACAAATCATTTGACGAAAATTATTAATTATTATAAAAAAAATATTGAATGTTTTTACAAATTATAAATAAAAAAGTTGGAACAAATCTATGAATCAACATATTTAAAAATAACTTTATATATATAATAAAGAAATTTAAAGTGTTTTTATTATTAAAAAATTATTTTTTTTAATAAAAAAATATTATAATTTTTTATAATAAATATATATAATTTAAAAAATATTAAAAATTATTTTTTTATAAATTAAAAAATATTATAATTTTTTATAAGGAAAAAATATTTTATTAAAAAAATAAAATTATTTTATTTAAAAAAATTAAAAATTATATTTTTTTAATTTAAAATTACTTTATTTTTTATAATTTACATTTTTTAAAAATTAAAAAATTCAATCTAATAAAAATTTATTTGAAAAATAAGAAATATTTTATTTTTTTTAAATGAAACAAAAAATATATATTGTTATTGTATTTGCTACTAAATTAAAATAATATATATTTTTTTATTTTAAAATATTCCGATATGTATAATTTTTATTTGAAAATAAAGCGTAATTTGTATGTAAATTTAAAATTGATTTTAAGTCAATAATAGTAAATAAAATATCTTTCATATTTAAAACATGTTTTCAAGTAATATTTTTATATTAAAATATTGACAAATCTTTCAAATGATTTGTTTTCTTTTGTTATAAAACATATGGAAATATTTTAAAAGAACTTTCGTTTCGAAAGAAATTAAAATAACATGTATTTAATTTAAATAATTCGTCCTAATAATTATTAATAAAAATATATCTTTAGAAATTTGTATTAATATTAAAATAAATAAAAATATTAATATTTGAGTTTTTGTCTAGCGAAATCAATTAATTAAAATAATCAACTAACCTTTTGAAAAATTTTCATATTAAAAGGAAAGTGTTTTTTTAACAAAAAAAAAAAAGAAAAAAATAAAAAAACTTTACATGCACTTCGTGATGTTCATTTAAAATAAAGAACCCTCTTTAAAAATAAAAATCTTGTTGTTTTTATTTTTTTTAACAAGAAGAAAGGGATTGAGTTGACATACCTAAAAAAATAAAGAACACTTTCCTTTAACAATATTTTAATAAAACAAGACATTTTCTATTCAATAAATTGCAAGAAAAAATAAATAATTTTAAATTAAAAACAACAATAAAATTTACTTCAAAATAAAATAATTATAAAAATTATTTTTCATATTAAATTGAAAATGTCTTGTTTTATACATTTCTATTGGGAAATATTTTTTAAAACTAATTTTGAAAATATTTCCCTTTCCACATAAAATAAAAACAAAAAAAAAACCTCAATCCGCATTGCTCATCTCAAAACATATGAATTTTTTGTTTTTATTTTTATGTTATATTTTTATTATATTTAATTTATAAGCTGTATTTGTAGATTGCACGGGGGATAAAGCAAAACATTTTCAAAGACATGATGGAAAAAACCACAACAATCAAAAAGATTTTTAGCTTAAAATCTTTTTCTTTGAGCGTAAAAAAGATTAGAAAAAAATAACTATAATAAAATTAATTAAAAATTATAGAAACAAAAATATTTTTTTTTAATTATAAAAAATTATATTGACAAGTTATTACATAAAAATAGATTTTTGAATGAAATAGATTAATGAATTTATGTTATTATTTAATAAAATAAAAAATATATTAAAAAAATAAATAATATAAATATATATATATATATATATATATTAAATAAAATATATATATATATATATAAAATATAAATGTATAAAAAATAATATAAATATATAAAATACATAAAAAATATAAAATATATAAATATATTTTAATATTTATTATATATATATTTGTTGTAACATGTTTTCTAATAAAATATTCGATTTTAATAATTATTTTTTAATATATTTTTTACGTAGTTTTTATATTTTAAAAATATATCAATATGTTCATTTAAAATTAGTAATATATTTTAATTAAAAAATTTTGTTAAAAATATAAATTTTAAAAATCCGCGTTATATCACTTTGAAAATGTATTGCCTAATTTTCCCCATATATATTAATATATTATTACAAAATATATATTGAAAACTGCCTGAATGTTGGGATAGGGTACCCTAAAAAATTTGTTGCGCGTTTTAAATTGAAATTTTTGTTATGAAATTTTGATCTATAATAAATTTTAAACGAATAAATTTCAATGTAACGTAAAGTAAATTAAAGTAATTTCAAAATTAAAACGTAATAAAAATTAAAAATTTGCATAAAAATTAAAATGAAAATAATGCTTGACTTGAGCTTGAGTAAAATGGTGCGCTTTTCCAAACAAACAATGAAACAAAATTATCGCCCTTTTCCAAAAACACATATTTTCTATTTCTTACTTGCAAGGTAAGTCCCTAGAAACCAAGAAGAATATACACAAATTCTATATAATAATTATTAAATATTTAAAAAATATATTTTTTTTATAAAAAAAATCAAATTATTTAAAGAAAAAATATTATTTATAAATAAAAAACACTTTTACAGAACCAGTTGGTAGGGTATCACCAAAATTCCCCTCCCAACAAGTAAGCAGTACCTTTGTAGCGGCCTCATATCAAAGTTTAACATTACTGTGTCCGGCTCAAGCCTATCCGGCACCGGTATTTAGGTGGGTTCTTACAGTTTTTTTTTTTTTTTGAAATTGAGGATTAAGAAAGTTTTATTTAATC